CCCCTCCTCCCCGGGGACCTGGGGACATAGGCCCCGAGCGGGGACGGCGCCCCAAAGCCACGGGGATGGCGCCCCGATGACCCCGGGATGAGGCCCCGGTGACCCCGAGACGGTGCCCCAAAGATTTGGGGAGAAGGCTGAGCAGGGATGGCGCCCCAAAGATGTGGGGACAGCCCCCCGGTGACACGGGGACAGCCCCCCCAGAGATGGGCACAAGGCTGAGCGCCCCAGAGACTCGGGGGAAAGGCCCCAAAGAGCTGGGGACAAGGCCCTGAGCAGGGACGGCGCCCCAAAGATCTGGGGAGAAGGCTGAGCGGGGATGGCACCCCAAAGATGTGGGGACAGCCCCCCAGTGACACGGGGACAGCCCCCCAGAGATCCGGGGACAGAGCCCTAGTGAGGTGGGGACAAGGCTGAGCAGGGAGAGCACCCCAGAGACGGCCCTAAAGACCTGGGGACAAGGCCCTGAGCAGGGATGGCGCCCCAAAGATGTGGGGACAGCCCCCCAGAGACCCAGGGACAGAGCCCCAGTGACCCGGGGACGGAGCCCCATTGGGCTGGGGAGGAGGCCCTGGTGACCCGGGGACAAGGTCCCAAGCAGGGACAGCCCCCCAGAGACCCGGGGACAGTGGCCCAGCCTGGGGACAGCGTCCCATCCCAAATAGTGCCCCGATGTGTGACAGCGGCCGGGTCAGGGACTGTCCCCTGGTGTCCTGGGGGCTGTCCCTAAGTGTCACCTGCTGGGAACTGCCCCCCCAAAGCAGGGTCTGTGCCCCACGGAGCAGGGGACAGCGTCCCACCAGGGGCAGGGACCCACCGGGGACAGGGCTCAGGCCACAGACAGCACCCCAAGGAGCCAGGGACACCACATGGACCTGGGGACACCACCCCAGGGACCCCAGGACAGCACCCCATGCACCTGGGGACAGTGTCCCAACACAGGGACAGGTCCCCCAACTGGGGACAGCCCCCCACCACCCCAGGGACTGCATCCCAACCCAGGGACTGAGCCCAGGAGGGTGGCACCCCAAGAAGGGGATGTCACCCAGAGGAGGGGATGGCACCCCAAGAAGGGGATGGCACCCAGACAAGGGGATGGCACCCAGAGGAGGGGATGTCACCCCAAGAAGGGGATGTCACCCAGCCATGGGGATGTCACCCAGAGGAGGGGATGGCACCCCACGAACGGGATGGCACCCCAAGAAGGGGATGTCACCCAGCTGTGGGGATGGCACCCAGAGGAGGGGATGGCACCCAGACAAGGGGATGGCACCCAGAGGAGGGGATGTCACCCCAAGAAGGGGATGTCACCCAGCCATGGGGATGTCACCCAGAGGAGGGGATGGCACCCCACGAACGGGATGGCACCCCAAGAAGGGGATGTCACCCAGCCGTGGGGGTGGCACCCAGAGGAGGGGATGGCACCCCAAGAAGGGGATGTCACCCAGCTGTGGGGATGGCACCCAGAGGAGGGGATGGCACCCAGACAAGGGGATGGCACCCGGCTGAGGGGGTGACACCTTACTGAGAGGCCAGTAGCAGGGACACAGCCCCCCCCCCGAGCCTCGCAGCCGCTTTCCACCCCCCCCCCCACCCCTTTTTCTCCCCTTACCAACAA